TAGAAAGATTGGTTTCTACAATTGTTTTAGAACTTTTACTAAATGACTAACACATTTTAAACATTTTACAGACGGTGCATACTCAATTCACACACACGTAAATTCTTAATATTTAACCTTTGCGAATGTAGTACTACTATCATTTCTATTTCGCATCTAAAGACGCATTTAAACACCTTGCTGTGTACACGAGTCAACACAGTTATCAATATGTAATCAGCTTGAGTCAATCAGAAAAAACTTTATGTCCATGCAATAAGGGCGAAAAAGATGTAGCGCAGATCGCTTCTGCTTGGATCACAGATACTAAACGATAGTATAATAGCACATAATACATGTAAATCATCAAATCATCAACTATGGCAATTCCTGCCTGTTCGGCTCGTAAATACCTGCACTTCGCTCGGAACGTAGGGTTGTTACATTATTATCTATATTGTACCTTTAGATTGTAAACGTAATTTGAAAAATTTAGGTGTTCTGCACAATATGAACTTCGCGCGTTTACTCCCGTTTCCAAGTGTTAGCACAATGCAACGCGAAAGTTTAAAAGTATACGGAGGTATGGAGTTCCCATAATTGCCTAAAACTACACAAAGCTTTTTTCGGTCGTACTACATGGACACAAAGCATTTTCGTGTCAAAAAGTGTGATGACTACCAACCTGACGTCAACTCAATAAACTCGCCTTCGTCGCAAAAATAAACCACCGTATTCGTTAGTCGTATTTGTTTATATTCGTTATGAATAATAAATTTGAATGTGAAAAAGAAATTGCGACGAATTCATTGTACCTTCTACTTACACTGTGGACTGTCGTTATAAAGCGGATGTAAAAGCAATGAAATTCAGGTCTAAAAGTCTGACAATTTTTGTACGAATTGTATTTGTTTATTGATTGCTCAATTTCCTTATCGCGTCTCATTTAATTAGGTATACCTTTACAATTTTGCACTAATATAATTATAACCGATTTATGTAGGGGAAATACTTTAACCTTTACTTTCTACATTAGGTAAAGATCATTGCTTTTAATTCATTAGGACATTTCGTTAGTAAACAATATGTATAGATTTGTTAGGGCGTGTTTTTGTCGTGTGCCGGCTTATGTCTGTTTGTCAGTTTGCAGTAATTTTCAAGCCATGGGACTAGCCTTTATATCCTAATTTGGATTTGGTTTGAAACGTTGGTGGATGACATACGTAAGATTCTAGAAATTTTAATTCAATAAGATTTTGGAAAATTTAATAAGGTCGCAGCGTTCCGGGCCCTTATCCCTCTCTGGAACAACTTTAGTTCTTTCTTGGACCTGATTACATGTTTGGAGTTCGTCAAGAATGAATCTTCAAATATTTGTAGCTCGGCCTCTTTACAAGTGATGAGGTCTTTTATCAAAAATTTGATACATTTCATTTATAGCTTCTGTGCTGATTTAGAAATTAAGTAACCGATCTGCATCTATTGACCTAGGTCTTGAATTTGAACAAAGTTAGTTTATTATCATATAAACTTATGGTTAATAAATACACGTTACCTTCAGTTTTTATTACGACATGGTTTAGTTATATCAACAGACTGATTGGTATTTCAAAACACTAGCTATGGAACTGTATTGAAAACCCTAACTCAAATATTTAAAATATAGGACATCACTGTGATAGGAAGGAAAGGAAATCAGCTTACTAAGAGCAATGCCACACGAGCGCTGCGTCGTCGAAACGCTATTATTCCAACGCACAGAGTATACGTACATGAGCAATGCGTTGTCGTAACGTCGCTTACTTAGGTACGCACCGCAGCATCTCTCCCCGCTTCCTCTCCTGGCCCCTTGTCAGAACGCCGACGCAACGCACGTGTGGCATCACTCTTACGGTATTGTGGTGTTTTCTTTTGATGCATGGTACACGAGGCTGCCGTACCAACTGCGACGTCACTGGACTAATTGTGATAGCAATGTTGGTTGCGCAACCACGTATGACAACTCTTTGTTACATGTACCAAATGTTTGTGTACACGATGGCTCTAGTCGTTGTGTAGAGTCAGATACTTCTTGCTCCTAATGAACTTCGATGATGTGATGAGACCACGTGCTTCGCGCGAATCCCACTCTGTTTTCTTTTTTCTTTCCTTGTTAATTGCTCGCAGAAAACCGAATAGGCCCAGGCGCTCCATAGGGGTTACCAATGTTATCTCGAAAATTACAAGAACAATAAATGTTTTGAATAATTTCATCGTCCACAGCCTGATTTCACCCACTGCTGGGTATAGGCCTCCCGAAGTTAATATATATAAAATACGATTTTCTACATTTTTCGAAATAGTTTAGTGCCCTAATTTTTAGGGAAAAATTTTTAGGGAATGTTTATTTTGTATTTAAGTATCCAAACCAAGTTTTAACGCGTTAAAAAACTAGAATACCCCATTTCTCTTCTTATATATATATACATAGGGGTAGTTTAAAAAAATATTGTTTCAGTCTTTTAATGTTGCATTATAGAATATTTAAACTAAGTTTTACCTTTGTAAGTTCAAGAAGTTCGGTTTGTCATACTAACGCTTACCCTTTTTCACCCTTTGAGGAGTTGAGATGCAAAAAAATCCGTTACACTAAATAATAACAACATACCGTAAAGACTAGTTTATACTGTAAGCACCATTGAAGCGCTCCAGACCTTACGAGTTTACATAAATATATAGATAGACAAAGATGAAACTTGATGAGTATGTAATAAAAATAGTGCACAATCCATGTTAAAGCGCCATCTGACGATTTTCAACTGTCTGAATTTTTGCGCGCCAGCTGGAAAACGATAGTACTTCTTCTTCTTAGTACTCGTATGATACTACTAATCCAACCATATTCCGTATTAGTTTAGCACTTCGTCAACAGATGTCGCTGTAATAGATTTCTACTAATACGCACGTATTCTGTTAATAATATTAACATATTTTTTGTTTTGATCATAACGAAATGTAAAATGTATCTAATTAAATTCTCAAGTCTTTGAAACAATATTCAATGTTCCCTCAGTGGCAAAAAGTTTGCAATAAAAATGGAAGGACTAGTCTTCGTTTTTGCAATAAAGTGGGGCGTTGAATGACAAGGTTCGGGTTTAAGAAAATTTCTTTTTCTACGTTTCTACATTCTATGCCTTACTTTCACAAACTCGTATCTTATAAAGAGTGATTATTCAAGAGATGGCAAAACTTTCTATTTATATCGTGTTCTTAGGTTTTCGCGATTGTTACACATAGGAAATGAAACTATTTTTCCGGATTAAATTTTTTTAATTTTTAAAGTTTTTTCAAACAAACCGACGTTTCGAGCCCTTTACAGGTATGGTTACGGTTGACTGAGGTGATACAGTCATCAACCAGTTATGTCTAATATTAATAAGTAATTATTATAATCATTAAAAATTAATAATAGATGCACGCCTGAGGACTCTTCCGATCTTGTCTGTAACACCTCTCACGTAAGGTGAAATGGCAGGTGTTCGCTCGAATGTTGGTGGTTTCATACGGCGCCTGCGGCATTGGGAATCTTCAACTTATTCGCATGTAGGACTTGCGTTATATGCTGATCTTGCCAGATGCCAGATGATTACTGTCGCAGACACCATGTACTCTCTGAAATAAAGATTTGCCCACGGTATCTAACTGGCTAGGATGGTGATGGGAATTACCATTGAGGTACCTACCTTTCTTTCGAAATACAGTATGGCATATGGTGTAATTAGGATTTTTTTTAATTAAAACATCTAAGAAAGCTAAAGTACCACAATTCTCTTGTTCCATAGTAAATTGGATCTTAGTACTAAAAGAATTAAGACGATCCAAGAAAGAAGGTATGCTATTTTTAAGTAATATTGTGAAAGTATCATCAACGTACCGTTTGAAAATCTTTGGCCTAGCTGGGGCCATGGGTAAAACTCGCTCCTCGAAGTCTTCCATGACAATATCGGCAACAACGGGAAATACCGGAGTGCCCATCGCTATACCGTCGATTTGTTGGTAGAATTCATTATTCAATATCATTATTCCTTTCAATTTATTTTAAATGTCTTATCAAGGGTGTTAATTTGGATGCATTACTTTAAGAATAGTTAAAAGCCAGTGTGTGAATATGAAGGAAATGTGATGTGAAATCAGACTGCAAAATTTATTTATACAATCCACAGACATCTATCTAGATTTATCTGTGATACAATCCATTTTTTGCATTTCAGTAACTTTGTTCTTTAGGATACGAATTTGAGAAAGTAAGGCGACGATATGTAAGACATATTTATGCTTCATATCACAAGAAGCAATAATTTTACTTACTGCGTTTTTTGTGTGGCTGAAGAAAAGCAGCCCTCGTACGTAATGTGATATTTTTGCTATTTTTATGCGCCAAAGGCAACGGTCAAAGATATTATAGGTAGATTATACCTTTACTTTATTTATATATATTTTAGAATTAAAATAAAGGTATGATCACAGGACATCATATAAAATTATATCTAGTAATTCTGTTTTCCGTGTTTACTCAAAAGTTCACATTAATGGAGGTACAAGGTTTACGAATTCAACCGACATTCTATTTTATCTTAAATAACAGATGGAAGGAATTGAGTTGATTGGTCGATTTAATACAGTAAACGCGTATTGTCTCATACAAACACAAGAGGAACTAACTACAGTACAATTTCTCCTTTAATTACTCCTTTCGTATATTATGATATGAGTATTTAAAAGTAAATTTAAAAAAATACTCGTACATATTTTAAATAAGTAATTATTTGTAAGGTATGTAATATTTTAATATTTACTATAAAAATATATTCGGAACAATAGCAAAGTAACAACAAAGACGAGTCGAATAAACATTTTAGTTCTGCAATTTTATATTTTTGTTGTATATTTGTTTCTAAAGGGCGGACGGAACCCCACCAATAGCATTCCCCTGTAATGAATATTTGACATTCCAACGTATGCACCGCCGAACATTCGAGATCCTTTGAAGCTTTATAATGTTCGGCTCAAAGTACGTACCTACCTGCTTAGCGCACAATCGATGTCGCATAATCATGTAATGCTTTTGTAGGAGGTAATCCTTTACTTTCTTCATAAATAAAATATTCATATAATGAAGAAATATTCAATAGATGTTCATTAATTTCATTTGTTTTCACTGTCGTCGTATAAAAGCATACATAGTTATCGTTGTATAAAAGTAAAATTTCTGAAAGACTTTTCCATTGCATTCGTGAAAAGTGATTTTACCATTTAATTGTTTCAACAAACGTAAAGCGAAATCAAATTTATGTCTGTAACTGTCCGAGTTACCCACGGCTTCACGTGGTATACGTAGTAAAAATATCGCTACAAATGGCTTCGTCATTTGACGGTGGACAAAGACAATGTATATCGTAGGGAATGGCTACAAAAAGTTTAAAACGTATAGTATCATACCTCGACATTATTTTGTTTAAAAATAAAATAAATGTTTTTTCTAGGAGTAACAATACGTAAAAATACCAAATTGAGATTTCCAGCCAAAATCTGAAAGATTCGTTGTTCGTGAGTCGTAGTAACAAACAACTGAGCATGATAATTACAGAGATAACAGAATTTTAATGGAAATCCCACTAGGCACCTAATTAATTGGTGGACTTGACTTCAACAAAGGATACGTGTCTAGTCCATAGGTTCGGCAGATTTCTCAGTAAGTGCTGCTAATGAAGCCTGGCTGCTGGCTACTGGTTTGTCCGCTTGGTGGCTGGTTTCACTAATATGGGTGTGATCAGATTCAACTGATTTCAGTTGACTAGTAATGTCTTGATTGGTGGTACTTGCGTCGTGGAGCTGTGTCAAATCTTCCGCATCGTCAATTTTTTGCAACAAGCTACCATCCGAAAATTCAGATTCCAGTTTCTTTTTGTTTACCAACTCCATTTGATACCTTCAACATTGCGTCATTAGATGTAATATATTTATACGATTTACTGAAAACTCTACGACAATTTTTTTTTTATATTTAGAATTTATGCATTAGCCTATTCGATAGATTTCGTCCTTATGATTAAATACAGTAATTATAGATTCAGGCGTTACTTTGGGGAAATCCATAGCAATAAAAATGGAATGATAAATTAATTTTCTAGTCGGCGAACCCAGTGCAGGTGAAATAGTGCAAAATAGCAGCACTCATGTTCAATACTTTTTTCATGCATCTGTACAGCTGCAGCATGAAAAAAATACTACACTATAACTGCCTCCGTGGCCGAACGGTTACCATGCGGGACTGCCACTCAGAGGTCACAGGTTCGATTCCCGCGCCGGGAGAAATATTTGCATGGCCTACATTTATTTCTCTCGTGAGTTTGGGTGTAATTTGTGGTTGTCTAAGTGTGTGTCCATGGCGCCCGCGACGCAGTTTTCCATGTGCGGGGTACATATATTGTGTGCGTTATTATATTATTATATTTTCTACATTACTTTCAATTATAGTGAACTCCCTACCGAGATACTATACGAGAAAGGCACCATAACTTAGCGTGCACAGGAACCTTCTCAGTTCAGTTTAATGAGTTTTACCATTTACTTACAAATAAATGGACGACGGGTCTAATACAAAAACCACGAAAAAAATGTCCCAAGTCAACCTATTTAAACGTAGTGACATGTAAAGAATATGAAAAAGCTAAAACATTGAATTTAAATTGTAATGTCATCGCAGTACTATCTAATTTTGCTTGCTTCGCTGTCAGTCGAACAAACGAAGACTAAAGCGTGAATGACGCTCTGTATACGATTTTAACGCCCTATAAGTTCGGACACTTTTTAGCGCGGACCCGACGTCCATATAATTGTAAGTCAATGGGTTTTACCATGGTTTTAACCCAATTAAAAATTAACAAATAATAAGTATTTTAGATATTTATTATTTTGTTGTGTGCCAGATGTCATATACCCGCTCACGCGATTCATGCGTCTCTGGAAGCATACCACACCTAGGTGCCGGTGATGATTTTATACCGATTTATCGGATATCGAAGTTATAACAGGTAAAAGAACTAATACTAATTGCTATTTCGGTAACTACTCTAGCAAACCATAAAGTTTTTAATGCCTGGGTCTGTCATTTAAAAAAAATAAACAACTTCAAAAATACGTCACGACAATCGTGTGTGTTATTGTTTGGGCTGGTGATGTCGGTGTTTATTTATTGAAAACATACCGTAAGTTGCGTTTTTTAAGTATACCCTGAATATAAATGTTTATAAACTATACTTTAAGGAGTAATTTCATGGTAAACGTTAGAACCACTCAAACAGAATATTATCATATTTACCCAAGTACAACAAAAATTTCATTAGTGCTTTTTAAGTGCAGGATTTGCGGTGTATTACTGCATTTTATTTAAGATGTTTTGTTGTAGTACGGAGGGTATTTATTTAGCAATGCAGAATAATAATTTTTATTTATAAAAACTTGTATTCAAACTGAATCCTTTTCTTATTTGCGAAACCAAATAGCCGCCATTTTGCGGTAGGATGAGCGCATCGCGTGAGCGGCTATGTTCTTCATATAAAATCTTTGTTTTGGGGGTACAAAAGGAAGTAGGACAGTGATATAATACTTATTTTGTTGTAGCAGTAGAGATCCTTGTGAAAGAGTTCGTCCAGGGAAGTACTGCCACTTTACCTATTTCTGCCGCCAAACAGTAATGTGAGCATTACTGCGTTCCGATTTCAAAGGCTAAGGGTGCTGGTGAAATTACAGGCACATGGGAGTTGTCAATTTATGTCTCAGGGTGACGAGCACAGTGGCTGTGCCCCTGAGACTTTGCGGTTAAAAGCTCTGAGTGGCACTGCAACTGTCATGGATAGGCGTGTCGTTTACCATCAGGTGCAAGACTTGTTCGTCCCATCATTTGATGTTATAAAAAAGGCTATTATGCATGATAGGTTAAATCATTGGATTTGCAGAGTAGCAAATAAATTTACTTCCATTTATGATAAAACAAATAAAAAGTACGCAAACCCTGTTACAATATATCTTTTCCTTTTCGACATTGGGTTATTGACTATGATAGTAGGTGGAACAGCCCAAAAAGAGATAGGTTTGCAAGGTCCGATAACTACCTATACTCCGTAAGATTTAGTGACACATCTCAATGTTCATGAACAAGTGATGGGAAACGATCGGTGAATCGAGAATCGATGTCAAAATATATTGACTAAACTATGACTTAAATTTTAATCAGTGTTATATTATGGTAATAACTAAAATCAATCCGAATTAATGAGGTCCGCTCCACGAATAATGTCTTATGCGAAATAAACAATGTTTATAGTATACAGAAGGTCGTCGAATGGTTTACATGTGCGCATAACAAAACCCAAATTATGAAAGGCCGCAAAATACATATGCTAATATAAGTATTTTTTGTCCAATAGTACCCAAAAAATTCTGTACTCGCTCTATGCTATCTATCGCTATATCTTTAAAATTATAATATAAAAAGATAATACAATGGCATTTCTTTATGTTTGCAGTGACATTATTGTATTACATACAATTACATAAACAAATAAATTGTCTAAGTTATCTTGTATTAATTTGCAGTTTGTGTGTGATCCCACAGAACGAGATAATTTTTTATCATATGCATATAAAAGGTAGAAGGAATTTCTGAAATATGAATTGATTTCATTGTATAAGCAAAGGTATAAGCATTATAGAAGAGTGGCTGGCGAATGTAAGTGTCAAACAAATTTTAAATGCCTTTATTTACGATATTTAAGAAGGAAATTGGCGTATAATTTTCAATGGAGGTCCTTAACCCATGCATGAGTTTAACATGGTTGGCCTATTTTCATTTTGTGGAAAAGACTTGTGACTCTAACCATTTCTTGTAAAACCAAAGTAATTGGACTTGCTTGACTATCAGCATACATTTTTAAAATAGCATGTTGAGGCTATGGCCAACATTTGCATCTCTCATGAGTTTGGGTGTAATTTGTGATTGTCTATGTGTGTGTCCATGGCAACCGCGATACATGGTTTCACTCGTGGGGTCATAGCCATATGTGTGCGTTAAAAAGTAAAAAAAAATGGTTGATGATGAAAATAACATAACGTATTATTTATGAAAATAATCCAGTCCGATCGAAGAGATTTTTCTTTGTGTTTGTTCGATCTTTATATCAATAAAATAACAAGGCAATGGAGTATTTTTACAAAAAATATAAAAAAATATATATACAAAAATTAATTATGGTAGTAAAAACTTCATGATATTCAAATAAATATAACACAACGTATCTCAAAATAATACGAGTAACATTTTAAAAATTACCATTAAACAACTTACATCAAAATTTAAAAATAAAGTTAATCGAATCTATATTTTCGACGTGTCCCATCACATTTTTTTCCGTCAGATGTAACTCATCGTGTGAATTGAGAAAATGAACATTAATTATGCCGTATTGCAATTAAATGTTAAAGTGATTAATGAATGATTTGTGGATGTCAATGATCTTATGTGAAGGGGTTGTAATCTATATATGTGAAATATTATTGATTTGTATAATTTGTAGGACGCTGTTACAAATTTATGTCACTGTGATTTTGGCGAGCCGTCATTCCAATCGATGTCAATTTTACAGAGCATAAAAATTAATCATTCTCAAAAAGTCATGAAATTGTATTCACAGTTAATGTTTTGTTGAAATGATGTCATTAAAATCTGAACTTAAGAAAAATTCTCTTTGGCAACAAGGAATACTTAATTTTTAGATATCAGTCCTGCAGCCATTTTTTTATGTACACTATTTGTTTTCTTCGTGTATTATCGATAGCATACACTTAGAATGCTCGCCATCGTGGTGAAAAGATATGCCAACCGGCGCAAGGTACTTGCCGCTAACAGTTGCTCAGGGCGGGTCAGACGGACGTATGATACGCCGTGCTGAGAGACTCATATCGTTGGGGATGTACCCTAAAAGCAACCGCGTGACGATTTGTACTAACCGTAAGATATCCAAAGGTGAGCGATGGTGTTTAGCGCAAGGACAGGGAACACGATCGTGGTGCTTTCTATTTATCCACCAACCTATTCCTGAGAGCTTCCATTCGATGATTTTCACCTTTGCCACAGCACACGTTCGACCCTCTTTGAGCATATTGAAATATGATGCCATTAATTCTTGTCCTGTAATAATAATAAATAATGATTCCACTTTTTTATGATACTATATGACGGGACGAACATGTCATGCACCTGCTGGTATGCAACACGCCTGTCCATAGCAGTTGCAGTGCCACTAAGAGCCTTAACTCGCAAAAAGCTCAGGGAGACTGCCACTGCGTCTGTCATCCTGAGCCTTAAGTTAACAAGTCCCATGTGTCTGTAATTTCACGAGCACCCTTACCCTTCAAAACCGGAACCCAGGAATGCTCACATCACTGCTTGGTGAAAAAATTAGGCAAAGTGGCAGTACATCCCTAGACGAACTCTTTACAGGGAGCTCTACCGCTTTAAATTCACTAATATGAATCCACGCCTTCATTTCGGCTGTTATTTAAACTCGTCCTTTTACAAGTTGTTCACGCCCTGAGAATCAATAAGCCTCAATTTATATAAAAATAATTATATATATATAATTGCATATATAAATATAATTCAATTACAAAAGTTCGTTTCCATTCCGTTCCGCCGCAATATAAATTGAGGCTTAGAGTTTTAAAACCCAATACCTAAGTATAATAATATGTTAAATTTGAAAATAGATATCGGCTACGGTTTTTTAAACTCTAATAAAATGTAGTTCCTGAAAATACAACGTTAGCAATCATTATTTTCATAAATCAATCGATTGATTGTTTACAGGTTGCAATTTATTGTGGGAATTAAACTATTTTTGACAATATTTATTTTATTCAATATCAATGTTTTTACTACCATGATACTCCTACATTATTTGTGAAAATAATTCGCTAGTTTGTTATTATTTATTATTAATACAAAAATCGAACAAACACAAATTAAATATTCCTTCGATCGGATTGGACTATATTTCTTGGACTATATTTCATCATGTACGAAATAACAAACGTTTTGCAAATTAATTGTAATATATTCATTATTGTTATTTTTAAAGTAAAAAAAATTAACGAACGTAACACTTAGCTGCTTATAAAAATTGTTTATTCATTATTTACTCTCCTCAATAAATTATATAGCACCAGAACAGTCTTGTTTATATTTTGAGATTTGGTAGTTGACTTAAGTGGGTGATAGACGTACGAGTAAATACGCGTACTTGTGGCTCGACGACCTTTTTCACTCATGTGTCACCTTTCTTTTTTTTTTTTGACTGGGGAGAAATCTTTATGGATACCCCTGAGCCCAGGGAGACTCAAGGGTTATGTGGGGACTCTCCCTCCAGACTGGAGGGCCTACCCCACTAAAACCCCCCCGGGTTTCCCTCTCGCCGGTTGAGTCGGCGCCGTGGGATCAGTGAGCATTCACCACGACGCCGCCCGGCACTCATGTGTCACCCTAAGTACGCGAATTTTAAAACTGCCGCGCAAGTCCATCAGCGATCAAACATGTTTGAAATCTTGCTCGTAGCCCGCCTCGGCTCGCATGTCTGTCAGCGTCGCGAGTCACGAGCCGCCATTTTGTTTAAAATGAAATAGCTTCTCTCATGCAGGTATCTTGTTTAGCTATTATAGGTGTAACTAAGTGCAAGAGTTCTTTGTACAACGACTCGGGCATTCTTAAATAATTACGAAAGTCTTCCTCTTCTTCACGTAACTCTCTTACTAAATTTACATGTGATAAACGTTCTCTTTTCGTAAGCCAGTTCTTCACCCACACTCGCCGATTTTGTCTTCTTTTTTTAGTTTTCAAAATGTGATATGATGTTATTCCCAAATAACATAAGACCTCCTCCGTGGACGACATCGCGTAACATTATAAGCTAATCTGCCGTGTGTCGCCGACGTCGAGCTGAGTGAGAATGCAAACTTTAAAACCGCGATTTTTAACCTCGTACGTCTATCACCCACTTCAGTCGACGGCTTAACGGTGGCCGCTTAACGGTGGCCATCGTTAGTTGTACACTGCGCAACTAAGTGAGCGTGCCTACAGCTTCGGTACCTATCCGGGCCTATTTTCCAGAGGGTGATGTACGTGTACCCGGGGCAGCTCACCCAAGGCACTAACTAGCCTTTTGAGAACCGGATGAAGTCCGTGCAAAAGGGCTGATCTGGGGCCAAGACCTGACTGAGAAGGTCCCTGTGCGGGCTTGCTCGCATAGGTTATAGTGCCCTTCCCGTATAGCCAAAAGGTTAGATATGGGAGCTGTCTGCACAGCTAGACGAGAACAATGAATTGGTAAAGAATTCTCAGAGATCTGGACAAAATAGCCCTCAATATATTTGATAACGAAAATTTCCTTGACACTCGCGCTGAACCTTATGCTCCAGACAATAACGATTCCGATTTTGACTGGACGTCTCCTGAAAACTTCACAAGAGATAGATCACTTTACATAGTACACGTGCGTGACTCCGAAATATCAAGAATTATTGTACTATTTTCACGAAAAAATAAAATAAAAAAGTCATTTTGAACATAAATAGAAATTTCTTCATAAATTTTGTAACAACAAAAACAAAAAAACTTAATTTTTAACTAATGTAACCTTTGTAGGTATCAGTCAGTCTATCACACGGTCGGCACCTACAATGGTTTTGTATTTTTAATTCTCATTGTAGGTACCGACTGTGTTATGGGATGACTGATACTGACAAAGGTTACTTTAGGTAAAATAATAATAATAACAATTTTTATGTTGTATTTTTTTCATTTGTAAGAGGATACATTCATTACGGTAACTTTTTTCAGTTTGATTTTTGTTTAGAAGCAGAACACGCTATGTGAACTAGATTTTTTTTGTTTTGTTATTATAAATATCGCTAAAAGTAAGAAATTGATCTCATTATGTAAACAGCCTTGATCTCTAATTACCAAACTTTTAATATTAGAACATACTGTTATTAAAAATTGATCAGTTTTATTTTTATGGCATCTTAAGGGGGCATTTATTCGACACGAATTTCATCGCGCGCCACCGCGTGGCGACCGCGCAGTAGATTTCTCGAGAAGAATTTAAATGATGTTGCTTAGTAAATAGAATTCAGATTCGTCATTATTGGACATGAAGGCATAGTAACTGAGCGGTCGCCGCGCGGCGGCCGCGCAAAATCTTTCTCCTAGTGTAACTGGGCGCTAAATGTTATACATACTGCATTTTGACACAAAATCACTTCTCTTGTAAAATTATAAAAATGGCGGTTAAAGTGTAATGCTTCTCAGGTACGGAATTACTTTATGACTAAACGAGTGCCTGACCTGCAGATACGGCCATCATCAATCTCGACTGTTCAGCTTCCTCGTAAAATATCTCCGTTCGATCTTCACTTTCATAAAGTTGCTTTATGGGTACAGTTGCTGATAAATCGATTGCTACATCAAACCTACTTCTTTTATCATCGCCCTGAAATTGAAAACGTATTAATATATACAGCAGCAAGTAAGTAGAGTTTTAAAAATAGATTTTGATATAATTAATTATTTTTACATATGTTTTTATATATAATTATTGATACAAAGATACGACTTCTAACAATCCGTGACAGACGCTATGCCAACTAAGCCATAGAACGAACCAGCAGACCTCACGAATTTATTTTTCTGTGCTTGTTGTCGGATTTTTGTGTTTAGTTTTTCAACGACTTTTTAGCCGTAGCGCCATCTATGACAAATCTATGAAAGTATTTCGTTACCCAGTGAGATAAGAAAGTGGAGTGATTTTACAAAAATAAATTTATTTAAATTTTTAATTTAAATATGATTAAACAAAAATATCAATTCAATGCAAATTTAATAATAGATTTTGATGTGAATGCACATCGAAATCTATTATTAAATTTGCATTTATAATATTTGATGATCGCGAAATAGTATACAAAATTTCGCGTTATCCATCTCGTTTTGCAAACATATAATGATGCGTGTTAAAACAAGACAAAACATAAATCATAAATTAATACACCAACAGTATGTTCTGACTACACAATAACAGAGTATATATAATATGATTATAACAATTACTAAGGTTATCATATATAATTTTAAAAATAAAAAAATACTAGGGTGCATGATTCAAAGATCGTTGCCTTTCCACAAGGTAAAGTACTACATAACTTAGCATCAATATTTTCAACAACTCGAGTGTATTTTTTTACTTAATTTGTTTTTCTTTTTAGTAATATAATAATTATAAATAATAAGCGGAAGACCCCTGGGCCAAAGCAAAATTAAATGCATTGTGCAACAAATAGCGACTTTGCCAGGGGCTTTACGTTAATCCCCCAACTATGGATAAATATCATTGACAAACACTCAATATTATCGGCCTGCCTAGCTCATTCCCAATAGGTATAGACTGTCACGTCTGTCTACAGTACTACGATACTGATACTCTTTGACAAAATTCAATACTAAAACAAAACACTATCACTATTGTTGCTTGGAATATGTAGTTGCTGTGGATTTCTTGTCTATAGATTGAAGTAGTTGCAATAGACTTACAAATTGTGTTATTCATAAGGTTTCTGACTATAATTTTAAACTTATTAACGTAAGTAGCACTGTATCAGCCGTTGAAAACACAATTGAAGTTGATGAATTGTAAGAAAATCCATATTAGAAAGGATCTACGCAAAACTGAAATAATTGACACGTGGTTCACGAAGCAAAAAAGTTTAGGAATGTCTTATGTAAAATAGTCAGCTGTGATAAACAGACCGACACCGAAGTGATTCCTAAGTAATCCGGTTTTTCGTATGCGGTCACGACACTAAAAACACGTCAATTATAATGTGTGATAATTGTTAACTACATAATATATTAAAACTACGTACTGAATAATAACGAATTCCCATGAAGCAGGTGAATGCTTCTGCAAGATGCTGAGTCCCCAGTTCTGGTTTCTCGCGCCTCAGATGTAGTTCCCCTAGAAGGTGCAAGGCTCGACCCAGATGCCTGGACAACCCGGCATCCATCGCCAACTGTCCCATCTCCGTGAGAAGTTGAGCTGCTTTCTCATGATCTCCCAGTCTGAAGATTTGCAAACATAAATCATATTTGTTCGAAAATAAATTTCGAAAAGGAAGAAGTGGTGGCAGGGTGCATGGCAGTAGCTACGGCTCTTGATTGTCCTACGACAGTATGTAAACACACGTGAGGCGCACTATAAGTGTCCGGAATTAATAAGAAAAAACATACTCTAAATGGTCCGAAATTAATTTATTGTTTCGCAAAATATTCTCCCTTAGCGATAACGCACTTTTTCATACGAATGAATCAATTTTAAAAACATTTATGCCACTCCTCCGTGACAATCTCTGAATTATATTTTTCATACTCTTCGATAGCCTCTTCAGGTGATGAAAATCGTTGACCGCGTAACTGGTTCTTAATTTTTGGAAATAAATAAAAGTCACGGGTTCCAGGTCGGGACTGTACACGGGATGGCTCATAAGGTCAACCTTATTCACCTTCAAAAAATAATTTGTCTGTCTGGCCGTGTGAGAACTGGCATTATCGTGGTGCAAGATGATACGGCGTTTACGGTTATTTTTACGGAGTTTGTCAATAACTTCCGGCAAACAAACAGTCGTGTACCAATCACTATTCATGGTATAACGATTCTCTAAAGCAACAGTAGCCACGTGTCCAGTTTTATTAAAAAGAAGCAATCATCCGCTTAGAGGCACTTTGCACGCACGCCACTTTGGTTGGTTTCGGCTCATCTCGAAAGACCCATACGCTCGATTGCTGTTTTGTTTTGGGATCGTAACTATAAATCCATATTTCGTCACCTGTTACTACGTCCCACACCTAATTTGACGCCCCTTCGTTGAATCTGGTAAGCATGGCATTGCAACAAGTGACGCGATCCGTTTTTGAGCCTCAGTCAAATTGTGTGGGATCCACCGAGAGCACAGCTTTTTCACACCCAAATGTTTGTGTAGTAATGATTGTATTTGACTCATGCCTACGCCTAAAGATGCCCGAATCTCATGATATGTCACATGCCCTGTCTGTTTTGATCATACGGCGCACAGCATCTATGTTTTTGTTGTTCACAGCAATGGATGGGCGACCATCACGAAATTCGTCACTGAGATTCACACGACCGCGTTTGAATTCTGCAAACCAGATATAAATAGTCGTCTTGCATGGTGCTTCATCACCAAAAGCAGTTTGAAGCCGAGCAAAGCTCCGCTGAGCTGATAACTCTTAAACTCCAAGAAAATCATACTACTAAAATGTTCACGAGTTAAATCCGAGGTGATGTAGACAACCAATTTCTAAAATGACGCCACAATGTAAAAACAAGTCAGATGAAACAAACTGTATTCTACAGCCAAAGAGTTCCATTTTCAAATGTTGTCATTACTTTTTAAAAATTGTTTATGTAAGTGGCCAGTTCCGGAAACATATAGTGCGCCCTATGTAATCTCATACATTTCGAGCTTATATTAGTTTTATCATCCTACATAGATGTCCCCCTTATTATTTTCCATACTCTTGAATAGTTTCCGGCCAATTTACTAAATTATATATTTTGAATTTAAGATATTTTTGAGCGTTAGCTGAATGAAGTTGTCTTGGGTGACAAAGAACGTCACGTACCATTGTACGAGTCCTCCAATGGAGAAATCCCGCCCAAGAACCGATCATGTATAATGGACAATGACTGTGATAAATAGATGGATATTTCAATTCACTGTACACATCTTTGCAAAATCATCATCTTCTTTTTACAAGTTTCCTAAATATACTTAAGGTCCTTAAGTATATCTAGGAAATACCTCCTGTTCAAATATTTCCTATTCAATCAAACACATCAAACTCGCTATTGAAAATAATTCTAGAAAGTAGTTTGTTAACAATAAAAATAGCTAAGCATTATACATAAATTAAATACTTTCATTGTCATTACAGTATTCAACTACAACTTTGAATGTTAATTATCAATTTTCTGTAATTGATAATTAAATTTAAATTTAAATTAATGAATTAATGCAAATTAAATTCTTTTACGTAGTTCTGTTTACTAAAGTGATTCGACTTAATTTCAAGCAACAACCAATTATAATACCTATCACTGCAGAAATCGACTTCGATTCTGTAAACAGACTTCTATAACAGTGATAATAAATATATATTTCTAAATTATATATTTACCAGGTAAACTCTATAAACATGAAATCTGGGTGCTTCTCTCTTTATTCTCCTTCTTTGGTCTCTATAAACCGAAATCTAAATAAATAGGCACTAGAAGCCGCGTTCGGTGACATTATCGCCGCACAGCTGACGCTTACGCCACCAATGCGCGAGCTGACATGCAGTTTATTGATCAAACTTTCGGAAATGAAACAGAAACAGAAGTGAAAAAATGGTGCTTTACAGCATCTAATTGCGGAAACTCTTCCACAAGCTGTAATTACACTAATAAGGGAATTAAATACACTTCACTGGTAAGTTTGTTTTAAAGCACAAACATGCTGTTTTTATTAAAATAAAATTATCACTTATGATAATTAATTAGTTTATCCTATTGCCGACAATGTGAAACTACCATTGCTGCTTTAGGCTCTCAAATATCTATAGTGTTACAAACCGCATGGAGCATAATATTACGTCATCTACGAAATCGCAATTTTTGCGAATATTGCAGTTGTGAGCTAGTGATGTAACTACCTATATACTTTTTGTTTTGATAAATTATCGAGATAAATGTTTTGTGTGCAACAAGTTGTGTATTTATATTATCTACTATTGATTGTAGGCACAAAAAAAAATTATATCGGTAAAACGTTTTAGAAAGCTGATAAATATAAATAAGTGTCAACGTTGAAGTGAATTACATCATTTACTTTTATACATATTTTAATACAATGGAGTGGGAAATGTACAACGCAAATATTTTTTGTTTTTACTTTCCCCAAACGTGTCGATGTTGATTAGTAGAATTTGTTCAGTACATTTTAGTGAAGATGCTTTAACCCTACAATAAAAAGTAAATATTTTATTATACTTATCTACATTTGGATTGATAAATATAAACATGATGAGATAAGTGTTTTCATTATCCACCAAGCCTCATCCCTAACGTCCATGAACATCCCTAACGGCCATGAAAAACGAAACGTCATTTTACAGAAGTGGTCAGTTTACGATCAAGCACTTGCTGTATCAGAACAAAATGGCGACATCCGTTTTTTGAACAAATAAGCGTTGTTTACATTTCTAGTACCTATTTATTTAAATTTCTTTGGTTCTATGGCATGAACGGCAATTCATATAAAAATGCTTCAGCATTGCTGCAGCATCAGTTTCCCTTTGAGTTTTGTGGTTTTAGACAACGTTGGAGGCGTCTTATATCCGAAAATCGATCAAGCGTTAAGAACAATCGTTGTGATGAATGGATGGATATTCCAGAGCACTACTATACCTTTGCATAACGGCGGCAAGATGCATCCTCGTCTCACACATTCCCTGGACATACTTAATTTCCTCGTTCATATTCATAGCTCTTTCAAAGGTCTTTAGTGCGTTGTTCAGGTTGTTCATCATCAGTTGACAGACCCCTACTTCGATTATTGCTTCGGCTGTCTTTGGTAAATCCATGGCTACAAAGGGAAAACTGTAGGTACTTGATTACTTTAAAGTGAGTTGCATTGTCTTTTTATCATTTAAAATCTAAGCATTTGATCGCATTTGAGCTAAAAATATGAATAGAATTGTAAAGAATTTAGATTTTTGCACGGTGTAACAAAATGTTCAGCCAGGTGGCGGTGTAAACGACAAAACAAAATAACAAGTAAAATAAATAACTAGATTTGCGAAAAAAAATTTCGAAAAACAAACTCTTCAAAAACAATATGACCTATGAACTTATTTGTTAAAGTTTTATTATCAGTAGGTACTCACTACGATATGGTTGTTGTACGACATGGTATAGTATGCATAATTGTCCGTGGCCCACACAGGAGAATCAACCAGGTGGTATACGGGCAAAAAGCGGCATATTGTATGTCAATATGGTCGGACTTTAACGTGACATCGTGTTGTATACATGTATAGTGTAGTTGGATAGCGTATTGCCTCCTTAATTATATTAGTGCATTGCAATTAGCATTCGTTCTTTCACTAATAACCATAATTCTTCGAGAATGCATTCAGTAAGGAACCATAGTCTTAACGACTTTTGCCTATTCACCAGCGCGAGCGAGAAACATTTAATTGATAGAAAATTAATAATGTTTATTAAATAACAGTAAGTTAAATATAAAACAGGGCCGTCTAAAAATGACACAAACCCATGATTTCCAATCACAATAAAAATCTTTATTTACTATTCATGGTAATTTATATTTAGATATAATTTCGTAAATTGAGTTTCTTTACCAACAAATTCATAACTGCGATAAATTTTACTGGGAACAGTAAACACGACAGGGCACAATTTGCACGAAAAGCGCCATAGAAGCGCGAGATATTTCTTTTCTCTACGTCCCTTCTCGAGCAACTCACGCGAGCCGCTACCTGTTGTAGTGCTACAGCCTGCAGAACAACCTTTTGACATGAAGCCGATGCGACAGCGCAATACAATGCTTTTAGAAGCTAAAACAAAATGCTAAAGCTCCAAAACGTGATCACTAATGCTAATAATAATATTATGTCTCTTGAGATTTTCAAAAATCTTGTCGTCTGAGGGTCGTGTTCCAGAACTCTACTTAATGCTCAAGTCAGGATCTAAGTATGACTTCAAGCACTGGAAATACGACCCTAATGGCAGGGACTTGAGTATGATTTCGAGTGCTTTAAACCATACTCAAATTCTGACTTGAGCATTGAGTAGAGTTCATGAATACGACCCTAAGTTTCATATTTGTAAAACAAATTTTGATTTCTATTAAGCAGAAATAGCGAACTAAGCAAGTTTTTCGCATTTACAAAACGAACTTTGGCTAAATTTAAGCAAGAAATCAAATTAAACTTTCAGTTTACTTTTTAAACTATGGTATAATCTTAGGTTCATTTTGTAAACACAAAAAACATGCTTAGCTCGCCGTTTTTCCTTAGTTTTGTACATTCCGATCTAAGACAATGCGATCCCTATATTATACAAGACGGAATGTCCTCCTTTAGTACACTAGTTGGCAACCCTACTCGGTATCTCGCTTTCCAAATGCGGTGATTATAATATTATTCATTTTATATTATGTTCGCACGAATTAGATAGATAAACACTTTATTCACTGATATAACACAAATACAGATTTAGCATAAAAGAAAAAACAAAACATGATTGTCATAGCAGTGAAACGGCGCTGACTCAGCATATGCCAAAGTTTCCTAAGGCGCTGGTTTTCAGTCAGAACCAACGAGAGGGATTAAGTTATTAGAAAGCAAAAATATAACGACTATGAGTAAAGTTATACATTGACAATAATAATATACATAGTAAAGTGTAAATAGTGCATCTAAAATAACTTGTTTGACATATAAGTGCATGAGCAAATGTGAATATAATTATAGCTGTAGGTGTAAGTTATGACTGTAAAGAGGATTTAATGTTGTGTAATGTAATTAGTATTATAATATAATTATACACATAATAAGAATAGATCAAAGCAACAACAAAATTCGATTCTAGACAGACTACGTTAAAGAATAAAAACACACTACACTACACAGATTTTTGAAGTGAGAGTAGGTGTTGCCGGTACAGTGCTTTGAATTTGGGTTTGGATGTCTCGTTGCGTATAGGTGGTGGAATATTATTCCAGCACTTTGAGGCCGAGTATTTGAAACTACCTCAGCAAATGTGATTAAGAGAAATGAATTAACATCACAAGTAAGATAACAAAAGCTTCTAAAAAGCTATCTAATTTATAAAGCTACAAAAATGGCATACCATCATTAGCTCTTCTTTCGGCTAGTCGAGCCAATCTCTCAGCTTTACCAGGATCATCCTTTCTGAATTGTCTAGCTTTACTGAGCAAAACTCTAAAACGAAGCAAGCCAGTCTAAGTTCCTAGATACTAAATTCAAACATTATACATTAGTACACCACATTATCGTCAACCCATTTATACGTCCCACTGCTGGATACGGGTCTCCTCTCAGGCGACGGTTTAGGCCATAGTCCGCCACCGTCGCCCAGTGCGGGTTGGGAACTTCACGCGTTTTCCGAGGATTATGAACCTTCTTCGACGTGCAGGTTTCATCACGATGTTTTCCTTCACCGAAAAGATCATGGTAACTTTAAATTAAATTTCTGACATAAATTCCGAGAAATTCAGACAAGTGCGAGCCCGGATTTGAACCCACAGCCTCTGCTTGAGAGTCGGTAGGTCAAAGCATTAGGCTATCACGGCTTTCTGACGTACGCGGGGTCAATCACGCTTAATCTGTGCGTGTTGAGATTTTACCTCAAAAGTTGCAAAGCACAAACTCCAAATAATGTATCTGGGGGTACTTCTTTGCCATCGGACTCGGGTTCGTGCAATAACCATGTCTGGAAACCACACAAGAAAGAATAGGTAAGTGATTGCTTAATTATACACGACCGTCACGCCTATCCATCAATGTTGTAAGTTGAAACCTCCACTTACAACGCCCAATATACCTACCTTCTTTCGCTCCCAATCGCAATTACGATTATATGAATGAATACACTTACTGTTTGATTTTATTAATTTAAACTATAAAAATGTCTCGTAAAAGTTAGAATAATACTGAGGAAAAAATCCTATGGAGTTTCAAACTGTAAATCAAATCGTGTCAGAATTATTACACTGACTCAATTTTGCTTAATCCAGCCAATAATAGTTTTAATTCAGCTAATAAGTTTTATAATGGAACGGAAGAAGATATTTTATAGACTTTGCTCTGTCGCACTGCAGTTGCACTGCTTCCACCAAACTGCTACGCTTGTATTGACATAGAGGTATATATAATATTACCAACTCTTTTTAGGTGTATGTATACCTTTCCAATAGACGAATCTCTAACTTCTGTTAAAACTTGGAAGGCTTCATCCGGATCAGCTCCTGGAACTAACGATTCTTTATGTTTTATTACAAGCTTAGGTTTTTTTGATACCAAATGAGGGGACGAATAAGTCACATGCCTGGTAGTGAGTAACACGCTTGTCCATAGCCGTTGCAGTGCCACTCAGAGCTTTGAATCAAAAAGGTCTGAGGGGCACTGACATTGTGCCCATCACCGTGAGACATAAGTTGACAAGTTCCATGTGACTGTAATTTCACCAGCACCCATACTCTTCAAAACCGGTAATACAGTAATGCTCACACTGTGCTCACATAACTGCTTGGAGGCAGTAATTGGTAGGTAGCAGTACCTCCCTGGACGAACACTTTCACAAGGAACTCTACTGATACTAAACATTATGTTCCATTATTAACATTAACTTTGTTCGCCTCAGTGGTCGAGGGGCTTGCACACTGGTTTTCATGGTGTTGCTATCTCTGAGGTCCTGGGTTTGGGGTACCGTCGTTGTTTCCGCTTTTTATAACACAAACACTTTAGTTACTTACTTTGAGGTCAGAGAAACGTATGTAATGTTGTCTAATATTAATCAATTGTTTATGTGTTTGAAAATCAAAGGCGTTCGAAACTGCTCAAACCACGCATTTTATAAAAACTTGAATTATGGACTAATTCTTAGGCCATAATTCAAGTCGAAACTTGGCCCCAGTATAAGAAAACGTTACATTCACCACATAGTCGCTCTACAGAAACAGTACCTATGTATCACACCTTCGCACATATTATTAGTTCTACTTACATTTATCTAGAAGGAATTTGGCATAGTAATATTTGCAAACACCCTTTAATCTGCCACCGTCCAAAAGATACTGACTACCTACTGCAATTGAAGCCAGTAACAGTTTTTCTGCGAGCCATAGGATACCTTTGCCCTTCTCCGCAAATTCAAGACCGAGTTGTAGAAAAATTAAGCATTCCTGTTTCTTGTGTTCTGGAAAATCAAGTCGTAAATTAGTTTTTATACTACTTACCTTCAAAATTTCTAGTGAAAGTATACCTATCCAAAATATAATTATCAGCGTAGAGGTAAATATAATTTTTTCATAATTTTTTTAACAAAAGCTCTGTCGAACCTACCCTTTTCCCGCTCTTTCTCAGCAGCCACTAATTTATCACAAATTATCTCCAAGAAATCCTCTTTTTTTCTTAGATCTACTACTATGCCAATATCGTCTTCAGCAACAAGCTGTGCATTATCATATAACAGATTTTGCAGATAATTCGATGATTCGACAAACCCAGACTCTTTTAGCTCCAAAACTAAACATTGATATAGAGGCATTTTGCATCTAAAACAGATCGTTATAATGTTATTTTTAAACGAATTCAAATTGCCACAATACCTTAAACGTTTTGATACTTATTGACGGTAATTGATAATCGGATATGCAATACCATGTCAACCAACATGTTCATAGTTTTGCAAAAATGGCACCTAAAGATTTTTTTGTTGTTTTTGATAGTTTGCTCTAAAATTTATTTGCAAAATGAAAACTTTTGCTTTCAATAACAACAATTCATCATTCCTGAGATGACAACAGAGGAAGTTTTCATTTTACAAGTGAATTTCAGAACAAAAAAGTTTAGGTACCATTTTCGCAAAACTATGATCATGTTCATCAGGAGGTTGCTTATTACTGAAAATTAACGAAATCAAATAGAGATTGATGTATTATATGAAATCGGCATAGTCATCTGAAAATAACAAGGTAAGTTGTCAACCTGAAGAAATAGCTAATTAGAATTTAGTGCTGTATTTCTGCTGTTATTTTTAGTCTGTATGATATTAGAACCTTTGACTACAACATACATTAAGTAATTAATTATTATATTATATATTTAAAAACCAATGTCAATCAGATTGTTAATATCAAAAATGTTTCTGACTGTACCTATTATCGAGTTCTTAGGTTTTCGCGATTGTTACACATAGGAAATGAAACTATTTTTTCCGGATTTATATCGCGTATATTTGTTTTTTCTTGATTGACAGTCAACCGTGACCATGGGACCTGTAAAGGGCCCGAAACGACGGTTTGTTTGAAAAAACAAATATACGCGATTTAAATCCGGAAAAATAGTTTCATTTCCTATGTACCTATTATGTTTCATAGAAGTAGACGTATTATTCAATTTATAACATAAATTGACCTTGCCATGCCAGGACCACCGCTCTTAACTGAGTTACAGACAGAGTCAGCAGATCTTACGAACACTATGCGTTACAAGTGTTAAAAACAGGTGCCACTGGCGGCAAAAACACCGTTTAAGTTCAATACAAAGATCTGTGACAAGCGCATAGAGAAATTCGAGTTCGAGTTCTGTTGACTCCGTCTTCTGTAACTCAGTTATTTAAGGGGGTGGCCCCGACACGGCAACAGACACCGCCAGACCCAGCCAGATCAAGGAATTTTTCTTTACGTTGTCCGATCTTCTAATAACAAAATAGTTGAGTATTTTCACAACAAATGTATGAATCAAGGCAAAACATCATGATATTTAAAAATTCCATACAAAATGATCTTACCTTCGTACTCCTTTGGCATCTAAGGTGTCAATGTTGAACATTAGTTTGTTGCGCATGTTCTCAATGCTTTGCTTAGTCATACAAGCATGGAGTTTCGGCAGCTTTCGCCGCTCCAACACAGGTCCTGGTGACTCTGACATTATTGCTTTACGCGGTTTTGTTAAGAATTATTGAGATCACACAACTGTATCTCGTGTACAAGTAGTTGACGTAGTAGTTAAAAGTAATAAATATCTTCAAATAATACTCTTCGTTATAGTAACTTGTAAATTGATAATTACAATGATTACACACATCAAAGTTGACATTAGCTGAATGAGTTTATTTTTACTGCCAATCAATTTTTAACAAAATAGTTTCACATAAAACGAGAGTGCAAGTTTGCTCAAATTATTTCAAAAGGCACACGTAGCTCAATTTAGAAATATCCTTTATACTAAATCTATGGAAATATAATCTATTTATGAACCATAGGTACTGTAGATAGACACGGCAGATACCTGGGTCATATAATAACAAGAGACCTTTGAGACATAGTCGCGTGATAAAATTAGTGAAGTGGGGTAATTCGCACCTTCGCACCTTAGGCCGCTTCTGCAAAATGACAACTTTTCAAAAGAGAAGTTTAAAAATTCTACGAATGTTTTTTTTTAATATAAAATAACGGGACGAACAAGTCGTGCGCCTGGTGGTAAGGCACACATGTCCGTAACAGTTGCAGTGCCACTCAGAGCTGTAAATCGCAAAGATCTCAGGGGGACTGCCACCGCGTCTGTTATCATGAAACTTGAGTTGACAAGTCCCATGTGCCTGTAATTCCACCAGCACCCTTACCTTCAAAAACCGGAACGCAATAATGCTCATATCACTGCTTTGGCGGCAGAAACAGACGATCAGTACCTACTTCGCTGGACGAACTCTTTCACAAGGAGCTCTACTGCTACTAAAGTGAACATAATTAATAGATAACTTTTACGCTTAAATTTAAATACTAAAACTTATAAAATTTCACATATTACATAATATATTACATAATTCGTTCCATGTATTTAGTGTTACTTTTATGAATTTCATGATAAAACCACTTTTGAAGTATGATCACACGTGGCTTTTTAATACCAAGAGTACGAATTAAGCGAGGTTAACGCTTTACCAAGCATACTGCCAATGCTTATTAAAGAACTACGCTATTGTAGTGCATCGAGCAAATGTTCTGATAACGGTATAGGTACTAAGAGCGATTGTCACTGACTGTCTGGTCCATTTTTTAAGTACTGGCGTTCTGTACACCGCGACGAAAACATAAAATAGACGAAGGGCTGATCAGATGATAGCTTATTATTTTACTTTTCGAGTTCTTAGGTTTTCGCGATTGTTACACATAGGAAATGAAACTATTTTTCCGGATTTAAATCGCGTATATTTGTTTTTTCAAACAAACCGACGTTTCGGGCCCTTTACAGGTCCCATGGTCACGGTTGACTGAGGTGGTACAGTCTTCAACCAGTTATGTCTAATATTAATGCAAACCACCCTATTTTTTCACTATAGTTACAATAGTTATTAATTAAATACCTTATTTTTAATTTTACAAAGAAAACATTCCAATTTACGCTACATTAAGTTACTACGTTTTATTATTATTATCTATCTATTTCAGAGTCTCACCTCTTCTAGAGCCTAAAAGATTAATTTTTAAATGAGAGAGGTGGCATTCCCCGGCAATGGCACAGTCAGTCGGGTTATTGTTATTATTATTGTATTACGTGGATGCTTTCTGTGGAACTCATTACGAGGCTCAAAGTCGCCCAAAGGTCTGTGCTATGCTCGGAGTTTCACTGTGAGATTTTAGTGTGAATCAGAAATGAGAATATCCGCAAAAGTACCACCGTTAACCGCATTAGCCCAACGTATTGCAAAATGTAGGCGGACCTTGCTCGCAAATAGATAGCCGATGGAGCCAAAGAGTTTTCGAGTGGTGACTGCATACCGGAAGACGTAGCGTCGGTATACCAACCACAATGTTACCATGGTCAATGTTGCGGATATTTTCTGAATGTAAGCAGCATTTGACCGGTAGTTGTGGCGATTAGGGGAGGCCTATTCTCCGCAGTGGACGTCTTTCGCCTTTTCGCCTGAAATAATGATGATGATAATAATAATTGTATTGCGTCATATAGTCAATTTAGATTTTTGCCTGAAGATAAAGGCTTATTATTATTATAGACTAGACGACACAAAGTTCCCATATCACCGATCTAGAAGACTCCAAAGTAAGCTAAACTATTTTATATAAGTGTAACTTTACTAAGAAAAGGAATCATGACCCTACAGAGGAGCCAAAAACTTTTTATTACCTAGTGTATGTGCATGGGGACTAAACTAAATAAAACTTAATAAAAAAGCCTAAATGCTAAACTTTGTAATTTGACCTTCTTAGCCTTGCCTTCCCTTATATTTCGGCAGGTTATTCGGTGAATAAAATCAGAATAAACTATTCTTAATCGCTACAGTGATGTTATATGTGACATCTTGTTACTTTTTACGATGAGGCTTGTTAAATTTTATAGGTGTAGCCTCGCTAAGTGGTTTTGCCCAAGGGATCTGTATTTCCCAAAATTGTTACTTGATCAACGGCTCAAAGGCTATTGTTTACGTCACAAGACATGTAATAATGAATGATAAACGACTTCATTAGAAGAGGAGACAATTTTGAGGAAAATTGTAAATTTTCCTTCACATATATTCACAATTGGGTTCTTTGATCTTGTATTTTAGTATCTGTAATAATTACTATCTATTGAGAGAAAGTGGTCTTTACATTTATATTCTTCACTCCTTTTTCCCGTCGAAGTAAGAAGATACAACAGCCATCCACTGCTACGATCCTGATACACATCTTTCGCGTCATTAACATGCACAAGTGCTTCCATACATGCTCGTCAGTTAGGGGTACTCTTGACCTGGCCTTTCTTTAGGATTTATTTTCAATAACAACAAAGCTCTTAACATAAGTAAACAGAATAGTGTAATATAAAATTGTGTTAAGCCATTGTGAGAGAACGAAATCCGTACTAGGATCCATTTTAATACTTCCGTAAATGATATTTCTAAAACCTGAAAATGCTCATGCTTCAGATGGGCGTTTATCCCGTTTCCTGCTGATTGCAATAAGTACCTACGCAGCTGAATTATGAGGCGAGAGACTATTCGCATTTCAGTGTGAGCAACATTTGTCGAGTGTTAACGTCGACATTACAAAGATAAATATATTACTCTTTTATTTGCTGATTCAGAAATTCCTTCTCAAGTTTATGATGTCTAAATTGCTTAGGCACTTTGCATCTGAATTACATTCTAACGAGATGCGACAGAGTTATTAGATTGCAAACTCGACGAACACGAGAAGTGGGGATTTTGTTTAAAATCACACTTTGTTTTTAATAATATCAAGTGCGGGACGAACATGTCGTGCGCCTGACGGAAAGCTACACGCCTATTTATAATAATTGCAGCGCCACTCAGAGCTTTAAATCGCAATATCATTGAATTGATCATTTCGATGCTGTGATTGCAAATAAAAAATGAAATACTCGAAATTCCGTTTTCTTCATCTTCAAACGATATACCGACCTCACCCAACCTTTTTATTTCATTTTTTTTACAATTCGCTCTAATTTGCAAAAAGTAGCGTCTGTTACTTAAATCAAGAAATAAAAAAGTCACGTATTTAACCGCCATAACCGTATATATTTTTTACATAACGTATATATTTTTTAATGGCACTCACAGAAATCTAAATAAATTATGGCACTAGACTAGTTTTCCTTTTCTTGTCTTTTTTTGTATCACAAGACCATGTTAGCATCAAAATAATTAAAAGCAGACGACAGAAAAACCAAAAGCGAAACAAAAACTGGTCAGAAGAGTCAAGTTATAATGGATATGGTTGAGTAAATATAAGTAACATTATGATAAAATAAAATAAATTTAAATTAATATAATGGTTAACTTGCCTTTATACAACCCAGACATTAGACTATGAACGATAAAATCATATAATAAATTATATTATACGACATAGTATAACTTTAGTTTCTCATGTGGCAATAAAAGAGTAATATATCGGTCGTTTATCCATGCAAAAGTATCGCTTACATTGCGGCCACTCAGACAAAAAAGACATCCATTATCAGAGATATCGATATCATGAAAGAAACAATGAAACGAAATATTTAAATTAACATGAATTGGGGATACTAATACATAAATATATAAAAGGCCATAGGTAAGTATGTCAATAAGGAATTCCTATTCTTAAATGTTACTTAGAAATTAGCCACAAAATCTGAATAAATAGATTTCGTGAATTTAGCGTTCAAAAATCAGGAGTATAACCTTATTTGAATCAATCAACTTTTTTAACGACGGATGGTGTGATGAATATATAAAAAAAAATTTAAAAGTATTTGATAATGCTAATTTGAATTAACATTACTATAGTCATTGTAGCCTAGTTTTGTACTTTAAAATGTACAATGCAATATTTATAAATTACTTTTGGAAATATCATGAAAAGCTTAAGCATTTTCTACACGCCTGTATCCACTGCTCTAATGGCGCTACCAGACCAATGACTATCATATTACACATAATACCCATTGAATAGGTATGTGACCAAAAGGTCTGCCATTTTGTTTTAACGATTTTTAGTTTATATTAATGACTTACCTAGCCTTATGGAGGGTATAAAACATGAGATAGTATTGTTTGCTGATGATACTTCCTTATTATTTAAAGTTAAAAGGCACCAATGTTCCTACGACGATGTGAACAATGCTATATCTAAAGTAGTTGATTGGTTTGCTGTTAATAACCTACTTCTTAATGAGAAAAAAACAAATTGTGTGAAATTTACATTACCCAATGTTAGAGAGACGGTTACAAACATTGTAGTTAGAAACGAAAAATTGAATCTTGTGGATACAGTTGTATTTCTAGGTATAACGTTAGATACTAAATTGCAATGGGGTCCCCATATAAGTAAGTTATCAAAACGGCTCGGCTCTGCAGTGTACGCGATTAAAAAAATAAGGAAACTTTCAGACGTCGAAACCCGCTAGATTTTTTTTACTTCAGC